GAGAGTGATCGAAGTTGAGCCTGGAAAGGTGGGTTGGGGCCTGAACTTAAATGGCTTTGGATGCCATCCTAATGCAGGGTTTCAACCCTATTAGCCCAGCGTGGAATCAGTTCAGTGTCTGGCTTCCCAAGACTTCACTTTTGCATTTATATTATTTCCTCTGAAGCATTTTTTTTTTACCTTTCTTTTGGATCATCTATCAACATACATACATGCATTAACATTTATTCTCTTCAAATAAAAATTCTTTCTAAATGCTAGGTTCTTTCCTACTCATCCCTCTGAGTTGCCATCTCTATAGGTCTCTAGGTAAACCTACCCTTATAGATATTTCTCAAAATTACTTTTTAATAAATGCATCAGCCTTTACCAGTTATGATGGTTAATTTTATGCATCAGTTTGACTAGACCACATGGTACCCATATTTTGTTCAAACATTATTCTGGATATGTCTGTGAGAGTTTTCTGGATGAGATTAACATTTGAATGTATAGAATGAGTAAAGCAAATTGCCATCCCTAATGTAGGTGAGCCTCATCCAATCAATTAAAGGCTTGAATAAAACAAGTTGACCCTTCTGTGAATAAGAGAAAATTCCTCCTGCCTGACTGGAACAGGAACTTTCCTTGCCTTCAGATTCTAACAGCAGTTCCCCCTGGGTCTCAAGCCTGCTGCCCTTTAGCCTGGAAGTATATCATGAGCTCTCCTGGGCCTCCAGCTTGTCAACTCATCCTGAAGGACTTGACAGGCTCCATAATCATATGAACCAATTCCTTACAATAAAACTCTTTATATATATTATATCAATACAAACATATAAATATTACACATACATTTAAATAAATATACACACATATATGTGTGTGTATCTATCTTCTATTGGTTCTGTTTTTCTGTAACCCTGACTAACAGTCCAGCTAAGACTTTCTAAGTCTCAGTTTCTTCATCTTTATAACAGAGAGAACAGTAGTATCCACCACTGGGTTTTATTATAAGGAAATGGTACTAACATATCTATGTGTCTGATATATGTGTTTACAGTGCTTAGATTCTGCAAAAAATATATACACAATTTAAGCTACTATTATTTTTTCAATTTTTTCCCATCTACATTACTTTATAGAACCTAAGGAACTCACTGGGGCATTTCTTAATACTCCCATGACAGCCATACAAATGCAAAGCAACTAAGGACCCAGACCCTTTAGGGAGGAAGGGCGGGGTCACCACTAAGGCAAACAACTTTGACAGGGTAAAGGGATGGCAAAAGATAAGGGGAGTCCAGAATAGGTGATAGAGAAGGATGTTAATAAATGTAAATCACAGCCTCAGTACAGTTGCAGCATTGGGATTATAGTTTGCTCAATTTAACCTGCAGTATTGTCTTGTGGAAATGAAGGTCATCTGTTACTTTGAAGGTCTTGTGACTAAGAAGATCTGAGTGGTGCAAGGAATGGATATAATCAGATCTTCTTGTTTCCTATCTTATTTTATCTTTTGTTCTAACCTTTAATTCCAATTATCACTGGAGCAATCAGCTTTTTGCCAGTAAAATATGGCAAGACCTCTTTCAACTGTACCTTATGTCTTTTTCTTACTGTCCTGATACTTCTTTGATTCCACTGAGGGCAGCATCTCTCAACAGTGACATTTGTAAAAACCTGGAAAAGCAAAGTGAACATCCTGACCCTTGAACAGTGGGAGATAGGAGCCTATGGATTAGTGTTCTTCTCTTCTATCCCATAGGCAATTCTAACGCAAATTATTCAGCTTCTTAGAAGGTTCTAGGATGACTGAGTCTACCAAGATGATGAAGTTAATGCACACATGTATTAACTTCCCTCCTTCCCTGTTCCACCCTTTCAAGTCCTCCATTCCTATTTCCTAGAATCATGTCCTTAAATAATCTACCTTCACTGTAGCCTTTGTTTCAGACTGCTTTCTAGGGGGTTATACAAGCTGAAACAGTCACCACTGGCATCCATGTCCAATGGTCATTTCTCTGTCCTCATCATATTCAACCTGTCAGAAACATTAGACTAGAGTTTACCACATTTTACTTGACATATTTTGCTCTCTTGGTTTCTGTGATACAGATTCACCTGATTTTTCTCCTACTTCATTGCTTTCCTCTTCTTAGTCTTCTTCATTGGTGTTAAATTTTATGTTCTACCCATAAATATTACAGTGTTTCAGGATTCAATCTTTGGCTTTTTCAGTTCACATTCTTAAGACATCTTATCTAGTTACTTGAGTGTCATCAGAATATCAACAAATCCCAAATTTGTATCTCTAACCATGATTTCTACACTGACCTCCAGACTCCAACACATATGCAATGATATATTTGATTTCTATCCTTGGTTAGCTTATGGGCTTCTCAAAATTACCTTGGTCAAAGCTGATTCCTAAAACTTTCTGATCTAGCCTTCTCAATCAGCTATATTGTTTAAAACTAGGAGTCACTCATCTCAAGTCCAGTCTATAAACAAATCCCATCAGTTCTACCTTCAATAAATATCACATGTCTGTTGGCTTCTGTCCATCTTCACTCCCTAGTCTAGGTTATTATCATATCTCACCTGAATTGCTGAAAGGTCTTCAAATGGGTCTTTCAATTTCCATTCTTGTGCCTTAGAATTCAATCTCTTCACAGTAGACAGAATGATCTCTTAAATCCATTACTGAGAACATGTTATTCCCAGGCTTAAATCCCTCTAAAAGGCTTTTTACTGCACTTAGAATAAATCTAATGACTTACCATCACTTTCAAAAGTCTACAAGAATTGGTTGTTCCCTGCCTGCCTGACTTTATCATCTGCTATGCTCCACCTCTCTCATTATGGTATAGTCAACACTGACCTCCCATCTAATCTATGAATTTATCAAGCATATTCTTGCTTCAGGGCATTTTCACTCTGTTTCCTCTCTTTCTGGGACAGTCATCTTTATAGAGCTTGGTCCTTGTTATTTGTCTCAAATACTACCTCCTTAGAGGGGACTTCAAGTCTATCCAAATAACCCTGTCTTCATGCCTACTGACTCTATATTACATTTTCCTATTTTAATTTTTATATATTTATCACCACCCAAAATGACCACACTTATTTATTTGTTTAATTGCTTACTGTCTTTCCTTTAGGAATGCAAGCTTCATGAGAACATTTAAGTTGCTTAACACTCTTGCTGGTACCTAGGCAGAGTTTAATACACATATATAAAATGAATGGGGAAAACATTTTTCACTGCAAAACAAAGTTCTTTTTTTAAAGTTTTAAAATACAGATTTTATTCCACCTTACTGTTAATTATTTACTCTCCATAATCTTGTGAGTTTTACCTAATCTCACCTTCAATGTTTATCTAGTAATTCCTAAATCATGGGAATTTGTTGCAATGATTAAAAGGAATATATTACATAGCCATTCCTTACTAGCTGTCTTTATACACAGGTATGGTTCTTCTGTCCCATTAGGAGTAGGATACTCATACTGTATGATTCTATTTATATGACATTCTGATAAAGGCAAAACTAGAGGGAGAATAATCAGTTCAGTTGCAGGGGATGGAAGTATACAGACAGATTAGACTAAGAAGGAGCAAAAGGGAATTTTTAGGGTGATGGAAAATTTCTAAGTCTTGATTGTGGTGGTAGTTAAATGACTATATTACAGTGGTAAATTTTTCTCAAGAAATTCAATAAATTTGACTTAAAATGTTAATTTTGCCAAGAACTATAATAGAGATATACAATAGGTGGAGAAAACATCAACAAGGGAAATGTAACCTGCAATAGGGTGATGGATTGCTTTGAGATAAATACAAGGTTTCTATCATCCAACATGACATTAAGTATCAATTGGCCAAATAATAAAATATTTGAACTGCTGAAGATGAATGAGGTGTTGTATTATGTTTTATAGAAGCATCATTGTACCCATGTTCCTGACCACTTGACTATATGCTCCTTGAAAGCATAAATTTGATATTGAGACAGGGACAGTGGGTATAGTCAGAGTAGGGTGAGGACCTCCGGGAAAAGCAAGGCAGGATATTTACAGTCCAGCAATGTAACAATGTAAAGTCCCTATCAAAACTCTGTGTTCAGCATTATGCAAAGTAAAGGTCACACTAATTCGCTAGGGTAAAGATACCAGACTAGGAATATAGACATCTTCAGTGAGATCAGTTAAAGGTCAAAAGGCCAGGAGCAACTTGGTCCAGAATGTTTGAGTGTTCCACAAGGGTATCTCAGCATAATCCATGACTTCACTGTAAACAGCCCTAGCAATCAGACAATGACCCAGCCCACCTTGAGGGCAGGGCAGGTAGTACAAATTCACACCCTAAGCCCTGAATTCCCCCAAATCCTCAACTGCCTATAAATCCCCTAGACAACGTACCACCCTGGGCTCTCTTGTCCCCTACTGGTATGAGCCAGGAGCTCTTTCCTCTCTCTTTATTTCTAAATAAAAGCCTCTCCTTGGCTCTTCTACCCTGGGTGTTTGCTAAATTCATTCTTCGACTCTGCAAACAAGAACCCCGGCATCAGTATCATTCTTTATATTATCCCCTGTGCTTAGCACAATGTTTGGAAATGTATTGGCATACCATAAATGTTTCTTGACTGATGGACTGAACATGTTGTGGGAAATCAGTTTTAAGTTCCAAGATCTCAATCAGATGGTTACTCATCTCAAAAATAAGGAGTAGAATTTAAAATACTTTGCCTATTTCCACATCAGGGGCAGGACAGAGAGACAGTAGTCAAGGACCAAAGAGTGTTGGGTCGGGAAATGGATGTAAATCTTAAGCAAGCAGGAAAATTACTAGTAAAAAGTAGTGACAAAAACTTTGCAGAATAAATTGCAAAAAAAAAAAAAGCATGTCTCTACTAATTTCAGTAATACAGATTAGATTTCACATGAAACTTTAGAAAATCTGGAGATACTAATAAGTACTCTATAGAAGGACCTCTCAGATCTGTGCAGAAGAACAGTGTGGGACACATAGAAAAGTTTCAGCCAAATTTGAAGGTAAAAAGGGAAGAGAAATGTAGACTGCCCAAGAGGAGATTCTTCTCTTTTTCCAACTTCTCTGAATAGGGGCTTTCTTTATTGAGGAGGAATACCAAATTATTTTTAGAACTAAATTTTATGTCATTATTGTGGTATTAATACACAAATCAAGTAGAATAGAAATCAAATGTACAAATACATATGGCTTTATTATTTTTCCTACAACAGAATGATTAGAGCCAAAACAGTTCCTACAACTCATGACCACCCTCACATGGTTTCGGTGTCCTTGAGAAGCGTCATGCCCTAGGGCTAGACTCAAGGTCAGATAATGATTGTGTGTTGATAATGTGTTGAACCCCATACTCAGAATTCTTTTGATGTTTAAGTTCATTTGCTCAATAAATATGAGGAGTCCTGGCCTTACTCTTGTGCTGCTACGCCTTGAGTCCATCCCCTGGCTGGTCCTTTCAGATCTTCAGTATTTCATCGCGTTCCCTCCAAATCTGCGGGTCAGAGGTAGGGGGAAGCCGATACATTATAATTTGTGTATAAATATTCTGCCTCATATTAAATTCAACTCCATTTTTGCTCTTTCTATAAAGTCCAAATTTGAAGTACCCCCAAGTTCAGGTTTCACATGACATTAAACCATAGGAATCTTGAAAGTGAAAAAGCAAGCAAGTAGCATCTCTTTTGGGGCTATGATAGTAATTCTATTTATTTCAGACTGAGAAGAGGTATATCTCTTAAGATAAAGGATTCTATCTGGGGTTCAGGGATCCAGGTTGTACTCCATGTCAACCACTTTCCTACCAATATTCTTAATTTCTTTGCTTAACATTTCTTTTGCAAATGTGATTTGGATGTGTATTCATTAAACAACTGCTCTTATTCCAGTAGCACTCCCCCAAAGAGAGGTTATATATACTCTGACTTTCTCTCACACCTCTACAGATACTTAAGGTCCAGTTACATCAGAATTTTTACTGTTTTTCAGTTCTATTCACCCAGTTTTCCCCAAAGGCAAATTCACACACCTCTTCCAGGAAGTGCACTGGTCTCCCAAGCCTGGATAAGTGCTTATCAGGTGTCTTCTTTTTATGTGCTGCTTATTACATTGTATAAGCACATATTTATTTCCCTAACTATATTGTAAGTTTATGTGGCCAGAATCCAAGTCTGTATTACTCATCTTTGTATCTCAGAACTGAATACCAAACCTCACTTATATTAAATACTGTATAAATACACAGTGAAAAGAAATGAATACTAATGAACTTTAATTTTCCTCATGTTAATGACTGAGAGGGCTAAGAAAACAAACTCAGTAGAGCTAAACAACTTGTATCCCCCTTAAGAGTTTTTTAAATCAGCATCCACTAGGGTCTGAACTTATTTTTATTTTTGTTCCAGTTAAGTACAAAGTTAAGTAAGGAATAAAGGGCATACAGAGAATACAATATATTCTCGTGGATTTCTTTTAACCTCCCACTAGGAAGCTAATAAGCTGAGGCAGGGGCAATGGTAGAAAGAAAAGAATAAAATATCCTCTGAACAATGGGTCTACTTAAATATTTCCTTAATAAATGCCATAGCATTTGGGAATTCATTAAAGAGAAGCACTCTTTTCTATATGTTAACTGCAGCTTCAGCAATAGGAGAGATAATTAAGAGATTCTTTGAAAGGAGCCCAACTTCCTCAGCAGCAGACTAATAGCTATGATTTTCCTAAAAAGGACCTTCCTAATAGCCTGTAAGCTTTCCTAATCCCTGGTTCAGGCCTGTTTTCTGTCTATGAATAAAAGTAGAATAGTTATAGAACCCAACCCTAAGTCCTTCAATTTTAGAATCTCCTTTAAAAGAGAAGACAGATTGCTTAATAGTATCTTCACTTGCTGAATTTTTTCCTTCCTGTCCCCTATACAGGGCTCCAACTCAAGACAGACATTTCTAGCAATATGCTTTCATAATTTTACCTTAAAATTAGGACGCATTTTAAAGAATTTAGATGATTCAATTTAAAAAAATCATTTGAAGCTAGTATTTGACAAAAGAACACATTTCAGATCAATAGAGTAAATTTAAAAGTAAAAATATGATATCTGAAAAGAATTTAGACTCCAGATTTATGAGGTTTTCTCAATCCTGGGAAAATATTATGAATATATTGGTTACAACTGTTTTAGCACTATATGGCTCTATAAATATGGCTCTATAAAATATTCCAGGTATAGAAATGAAACACAGGTTAAATAACTGTCTGGATACAAAGGTTGAAGCACTCCCTGATTAATTCACATTACTCACAGATGGTTTATCCTAAGATAAAATTTTTAAATGTTTATTTACTGATTTAATAAAAGCAAAGTAAAGGAGAAAACTGAAATAATTATGCAAATGGTCCAAACTCTCATAGAATTTCCACCTACAACATTCAAAGTATTTGTCCTTGGGTTGCCTGGTAATTTCCTCAGATCTTCATTTGTGCAATAACATCTATACGTCCTCAATACTATCAGTACTAATGTAACTTTACATAATATCTCAAGAAACCATGTGCTGTGACATAGTAAACTAAGAATATATATATATATATATATATATAT